AAATGTTATCTAAAATATATAATAACCTTAATATTGAATTGTAAACATAAATTGAAATCCTCTTGACAAATACGTAATAAAACTATTTAAGCAAGAATTGTTTCGTATTGGAAAGCAATCTGTTAAAAGGTATTGTAAAGCAAATGCTATGAGATGCGCACTTAAAGACGTAATAAAGAGTTTTGGAATATGTATTGTTGAAATGAAGGGTTAAAAAATCTGATAAGTATAATTAAAAGAATTATTCCCCTTACATTTTATAATAACTCAGTTACAAGTTTTAAATAATACTTAAAAAAAAAAAAAAAAAAAAAAAAAAAAACTTATTTTATTCCCCTTTCAGAAATGTTCAGAGAAAGTCAAGTACTATTTAAAGGTATTTCGCTAATTCCTAATAATTCTCGAATTTAAAATGAACCGAATAGAGCATTAATTATAAATTGACTTACATTTTTCGATTTAAAAGAGCCTCAGAAGCCAAAAAAATCATGTCACATTTAAGAAAGTATTTTAAGAAGAAGCTCTATAAATAGAAAAGAAATAATGCAGAATTTTAATATTATAATACAATAAACTTTGATCTTAATTTTTGTACCTTAACCGAATAAAATCGAATTACCTTCATTTTTTTAATGTAATTAACGAAAACTTGTGAAAATATTTCATTCAAATTAAACTATTCTGAGAAAACTGTCCTGTGAAAAGTATAGCATTTAATTCCGTTCAGAATGAAATGTTGTTTAAAAATATGTTGTTTTCATATACTTAGGACTCTGAAGTTGTTGCAGAAAAAGAAAATATATACATTTATATGTATATTTACGACGTAATTACAAAATATTTACATCCGAACGCGTCAAATCCCATAGAACTCAATGGTAAATGACCCAATGTTTTGGTCACCACGTAGGGATCGCCGGTGCTTCAGAGCAGGGTACGGGAGAAACTTGTTTAGGGCGACTCTATGTTACTTCCTATCTCCATGAGTAGCCCCATAGTTTTACGTTCTGGAATCAAAATCACAAAAGAATTTGAATTTTACTAAGCATTTAATTTGTTATTAAATACTTTAGCCTATATGAGAATGGAATATTTTCCGCGTCTTGAAATATTAGCAAATTTTTTTTTTTTTTTCATATATTTACCATGAGTAAAGGCCAGTGGGTTAGAGAAAGGTATGTTGTAGATGAAAAGTTTTCAATAAATATGCGTTTTCCCGAAGAGACCGTAAATTTAATTAAAACTGAAAAAAAATTAATTTCAGCATTAAAATTTTGCTGAAATGAAATAACGCTTAATACATGATAAAGTTTATGCAACTTGAAAAGGAAGATGTTCCAAACTAAAATTAATAGAAATGAAGGGTCTTAAATGAAGGGGTTAAAATTAGATATTTATCTTTAACCAAGGCCCGGATTTTGCCGCCCGGTGAAATCTTTTCTTGTCTTAAATTCTGCGGCCTAGTGCATCTCATAAATTCTAAAGCTTTTCAGCTAGCCTTCTGCTTCAACTTTTTTTTTTTTTTTTTTTGACATTTTATATGCTCCATTCATATTTTCTGTATCAGTTAAGGTGCATGTAGGACCTTAAACTGATATTCAATTGGCCATCAAAGAACTATTTAATCTGCATCTAAATTTTCTTTGGGAGAAACAGGGAAGAAAAAGGTTATCAAATTCCATTAATCTGTTGTAGCTGATGAGGATGATAATAGTAATAATAATAATAATGTACATTAAAAAATAATACGGATACTGTAATACACAGGGAAAAAAACTAATTCCTCGTTACATTGAGGTTTAAAACTTACTATTAACTTTAAGAAACGGTATAAGCTTGGATTAAATTCATTAGACACCTTTGCACTCTATTATTTTTTGTCGTGTATATTAATCTAGCTAGCATGATTTTGACTACATGATTCATGTAAATGTATATCAAAATTACCAAGATTTGCATCTATTCTTTTACTCAAGCTCAGTTTTAATTTGATATAAATCACGTTGGCCAAAGAAGTATGCGTGTGTTCTTAGACAGTTTAGTAGCAAATCAAGCAACATGACCTAATTACAGCCTTAGTCCAAAAGACCCAAGCCTAGCGCCTCATATCTTAGTGGATTCCAAATTCTTCATTGTTGTAATTTCTCTTAGACAAAAACAAAGAGCATTTGGTGTTTCTGAAAGAATGCTGTTGCTAGAGCGTCAGACTGTCTTGTCGAGCCTAGTCGAACAGTAATTAACACTTGCTTTACTCTAGGCAACGCCTAAGCTATCTTATGTTTTACGCGGCTCTTGTTGAAAATAGCAGATTGCAAGTGTGTCCGGCTCTTTGGTTAAAAAAAAAAAAAAAAAAAGTTACAGGTAGTAATAACATAAAAACATAACTCCAAAAAGTTTGCTTATGTTCATCCTATCATTTACAATGCTAAAATGAATAACTGCACTAAATTGTGAATCCCTTTCTAAAATTGGTTTTAGATTGACGGCCTGAAAACTGAAAAATAAACAAACAGCGCTAAATTTTATGCAAGCATCCAATAGTAATATAAAAGCTAATCGAATAAATGCCAGAGTTTTCTTCCTCTTTCCCACTAACCCAAGAAACAGACTGAGACTTTCAAATAGCATCGTAACTAGTTTTCACAAAGAAGCCCAAGGGCAGTTGATTCCTAAAGGCACTCAGGAAATGATACACATGTGTGAAGTGACAGGGCAGAGACAAGATTACTTATAGGAAACTTTTAAAATTACATTCAGTTACCCGCTACTGATTTGTATCCTTTACGATTAGCGTAGGCAAAAGGTAAAAAGGTGATCCTGGCTGTTAGTTATTTGCATGATAAGCTGTAAGGTTTGGAAAAGATTAAAATTGTCGGTCCCAGAAGTTTTTGAGTTTCTACATAAAAAAAGAGCTTAAGCAAAATGATAAGAAAAACAGCAAACTTTAGTCCGTTTTTTTGTGGGGGGAGGGGTGAAAGAAAATGGCACTTTTACGGGGGAGCAAGTGCATCTTCTTGCATCTCGTTGGCTATGTCCATATTTGTAAGTGTATAGTATCTTTGCGGCATGAAGGCATTCAAAATACACGGCGAGCCGAAAGTCCTCTCGGGTGGTTTGCTGGTAAGGTAAGACGGGTGGAAGACCCTCAGATCTGTCCTCGGTGTCAAAAAATGGTGTAAAACCATTTCTCACTAGAGCGGATCAGCACAGTTAGGGAAGTGAGCCTATACCCGTACTTCAGATGATGAAATTTTGCTATCCCGTACACTTCTACCTATACTTATTATCTTCTGATTCCAAATGTCCCAAATTTAAATCTTTAATTAGATATTTTGTGCAATTCTTTCGCAAATATTGATAATTATTAGAACTTACTAGTTTTCGAAGTTCATATCGTTCGAAGTTTGAGGTTTATATCATTTCAAAAAATACACATATCTCTTTTGTCATTCCGACCCACAGTGGAACGATTATTCTTTCTGTTTCTAAGGATCTAAGGAGGATCTAAGGAGAGGAATCGCTTTGCTTTAACGAAACACAGCTTTCGTTATTTTGGTCGTCTAGCTGTTGTACTGTTTCGCATTTGTTGAAACATCTTAACATCTTAAAAAAATAACATCAACATGCAAAGGTCTTGAGCTGTTTAAATGAAGTTATCTTCTATTGGAATTGGAATGATTAAAATTAGATCATACAGCGATATTCATCAATGTAATTTTTATGCATTTCTGTATGCATAATCAAATTATAATAATTTAGGAAGTAGGTATGAAAATATGCAGTATATTAAACAGATTTCATTTTAATTACTTGAGACGTATTGACATAGTTCATTGCGTGAATATATATACTCGTATATATAAATTGTTACTTAGTGTTTGGAAGGATCACAGGCCAGTCTTATTCAATTAGCTTTTCTCTGAAAATTCGGCAAGGTATTTCATCGAGCTCAGAGGATAATATTCTAGTTTTTGTGTTCATGTGACTAGATCCTCAAAGGCAAAGTAAAAAGAAACATCCGCTAAAGAGCTTCCAGCTTTCGTCTGTTGGAAAATTCAAATGCGAAAGATACTGTGATCCTTTGACGTCTGTTGTCTAATTCTCGCCACTAGATGGCGGGCATTCTTCCCCTCTTTTTGCCCTAATTGAGATCAGAGAGAGACTATAGAGAGAGAACGGAATGGAAGCAAAATATGAACGCTGCTTAGCGTATTTGTAATTAAGCTTCTTCTAACAATCAAATTCTTCGTAAATATTTGTAAATACTAATAATATGTGTTGTGCCTGTTTAAAGGAAGAATTCCTATTTTTAGTCTTATGAGTTCACATAAGAAAATCCTCTCAGCCGTCCACCAAGAAGAAGAAAAAAAGTTAAGTTTACCTTTTGATATATCTTTATCGATCTTCCAAAATAACATCTGCAGTCAACTTAAGTAAGCCGTCGAATTTTGACAAAGCAAGTGAGTTTCTTCTGTTTTACATACCAAGATAGGTTAACAACTGCGAGGATGAAATGGTTTTAGCTTTTGAAAGAGAAACTCTTTAAAAATCCTTTTTGATGTTTACGTTCGAAGCTTTCGATGGTATTTTTACGAATATAAGACATTCCACATAAAAAGCATACAGTAACATATAAAAGAATAGAATATTTGTTTTTCATGTAACATGCTCTCACGCTTTCCTATATACGAATTGCCCTGATTTCTTCCGCTATTTTATTATAATCATTAAAAAAAATTTATTTGCAGAAAATGCCTGAATGGATCAAATCGCTGTGGTTGCCTAAACAAATCCCAGAGATACCTTGGAGTATTTGATGATTTCTTTTGCGATGAGATATTGAAAAATACACTTAGAAAGCTCGTTGTTGCAAGTGCTCTTTTCCATAACAAACTAATGAATATATATGCATTAAATATTTATACATTTTCGAAGTTATTGTCCTTGCTTTGTCAAAATCATAAAAAAAATGAAAATTTTGATTTCCTTTCTTTTTACAGGTTTCTTGAGCACTCAAGATTCTATTCTTCCTGGAAATTTAGGACTGTGGGACCAAAGAATGGCTTTAAAGTGGGTTGCAGAAACTATTCAAGCTTTCGGAGGAGATCCACATCAGATTACTATTGCAGGACATGGTGCAGGTGGAGCGTCTGTTGGATTTCACATCTTGTCACCACTTTCTCACAGTACATAAAAATTATCTTTAGCTTATATTATTTCTTTCCTGCATAAGGCTATATCTGGTTATTTTTCTAACTATTTTAATCTTCTATTGTATTTCTAGTTTCCTCTTGAACTGCCGAAAATAATGTGTATACCAGTACATTTTCGCAAAACAATTCTAATTCTCCCAGCTAAATTTCTCTCCAAATAGTCTCCCGATTTCCTGGATTACAAGTAAAAGCGGTTTTAATCTTTCAAAAGTATCTGGTTATGAAATACGTAATTCCTTTGTTAATAGTAAAACGAGTCTTTAAATAGAAGTATAATTAGCAACCATAAAAATTAAACACCAGTGTAAAATGAATGGTATAGTACTATACACTGGTGTGCAAAAATTAAGGACGAGACGGTTTTTTCAACATAACTTTGTACAAAAACTTTCCAAATCAACACATTTAATACCGTAAGATCCCCAATACGTAAGGACATGAGTAATGTAAGCAACACTTACTAAAAGAGAAATCAGAGGGATAAAAAGAAGCTTATTGAAAAAGTAGCATGGAGCGCAATGCGACTGAAGGCCAAAACATCCCTGTGATGGGTGTCCAGCAAGAAACATCGGGTCTTTAATAGGGGATATGCTCTCCCCTGACTGCTAGGCAGGTTTCACAGCGTCTGCCCATGCTGAGTATGAAGGTATGAATGAGTTGTTGAGGCATTGCTGCCCATTCGTCTTGCAGCGCCAATCGAAGCTCCGGAATCGTTACTGGTGGTAAGGTACGAGCTGCCAAGCGTCTGCCTAGAAAATCCCATACATTGTCGATGGGATTGAGATCCGGAGATCGTGCCGGCCAATCCATACGTTCAATATCCTCACTCTCTAAGAGCTGCTCGGCAGCTACTGTGCGATGACATGGTGCATTGTCGTCCATGAAAAGGAACTGCGGACCCATAGCGCCTCTAAAAAGACGCACATATGGAAGAAGAATCTCGTTACAATAACGGGTCCCGTTGACTGAACCTGCGTCGAAGATGTGAAGGTCTGTACGACTACCATGCATGATGCCTCCCCAAACGAGAACACCGCCACCTCCATACCTGTCCCTTTCAATGATGTTCGAGGGATGATTGCGGCTTTCCCGTTCTCTCCAGATGAGTATGCGATGAGAATCGCTACTCAGACTGACTCTGCTCTCATCTGTAAAGTACTCGTCCCATTCATTGTCTCTCCAATTCCGGTGTTCCCGACACCACAGAGAACGCCTTCTCCGATGGGCAGGCGTTAGAGGTACAACGCCGTACAGGGCGTCGTGCAAACAGACCAAAACCGTGCAGTCTTCTGGCCACGGTAAAACGGGATATCGGTCGTCCAGTCGCCTGTGTCGTGTGTCTAGCGATTTCTCCAGCTGTCTGCCGCCTGTTTCTTCTGGCCTGTAAGGCAAATAACCGGTCATCTGCGGGTGTGGGTCCTCGTGGGCGACCACTACTAAAAACCCCCGGATAGCTGTTCGTAGTTTGAAATTGTCTCCAAAGTCGTGAAACGATGCGGTGAGCAATTCCGAACTCTGCAGCCACACTTGTCACACTGCGGCCTTCCTCCAACTTCCCAATGATTCGACCTCGGTAAAAGCATTCACATGTCGTCCAACAGATTGATATTCGCCATTTCTCGCTGGAGGCAGCAACTCGGTGTGATTTTAACTGTTATACGGCGTGCAATCTGTTTGCCAGAAATACTGATCTTACACCGACAACATGCTTTATACTACTCAGACACTCCCCCATTACGTCTACCTGCACATCTGCGCATGTGCTAACCGTACATCACCTTACTTAATCTCCTGATTGGTCTTTCTGTCCGTGGGGGCCGCTCTGCCTCTTCGTTCAGCTGATATGTTAATTTTTCGACTTCGTCCTTAATTTTTGCACACCAGTGTATTATAGTCATATGCATTATCAAAGATTATATAAGAATTACTGAACTTAAACTACAACCATTGGAAAATGTACTGGGTGTGTAGAAACTATAAGGATTTATTTAGTTTTGTTAACCAGTTATTTTATGTTAATTAACTTTATTGTGTTTCTCACTGCCCGTTTTCCTGCAGAATGCTTATTTCTAGTTCACACGTGTTCAAATGAGGTATAAAGAGATAGTATTTAAAGGGAGGTTTTAAATTATAGAATCAGAGAGTGTTGCGCCTGCTGAAGGCCGCGTTACTAGTTGAACTCCTTGATAGCAGTTTACCTGCAGCATTGCGTTATTCTCACCATTAGACTTGTCACGTCGGTATTAGGTTTGACCCCACTTGCGCGCATTCTGTGTAGCCTTTGGGCTAACTTACGACTTACTTAGTTAAATTCTTTTGAGTTCCCCCATAAATGCTGGCTATTTCTGTAAGCAGGAGCAGTGCCTTTTATTAATTTACTGATTTTAATAAAACATTTTATACGCTTTCCAAATCTAGGTTGTAATTAATTTTATCTGTTGTAAAATTCTTGTTGTAATTGCAACAGCGAGAAAAACTAATGGCCAGCCTATGCTGCAAAGCGTTCTCTCAAAATTCAGGATTCGGAGCTTATTTATACGTTAACTACATAATTTGCATTCTAGTAGATGTTGTCGAAAGAAAAAGTTAAGGTAGAGCCGAAATGATAAGATAACTGGGTACATTAACATAAAACTTTACAGAATGTACAATAAAAAAGAACTTATTTATGTGAATTGATCTAGGCCTTTCCACCCAGGTGCGAGCAGTACCGTCTTTACAGCAATATGGGCCCCGGGCAAACCAGTGTGCTGGTGCCCCTACGACAGCCATTCACATAAATAAAATGTAAATGAAATAGAAACGGATTAGTATGGGAGTCACAATGCTCTGGGAAAGTGCCTAGTGCGCCCATGTGTTAAGACTGCTCTGGGTACAACAACAGAGGCTGCCTTTGGTTCCTTGTTCATATTTCAGGAATTTAACCCCCCCCCTTCCCGAGCGTTACGGCTTTTCAGAAAACGGCATGAAAAATAATCGGCTGTACTCATTTGGTCTGTTGCAAAAACGGCAAGTATTTTGAGTCAAACTACTTCAAAAGCGGGCCCCCTCTTACCATGTGGATATAATTAAGCTAATTCTCTCCTCCGTTGAATTTAGCGAGTGAAATTAGTTTTTCTCCCTATGGTATCTTCGTCGCAGGATTGGTTGCTAAAATTTTATTTTATCTCCTAATTTGGCTACATTATAGTTTGCATACTAACACATATGCTGTATATTGCTCGTACCTTAATCAAGATATGTGCCGAATAAAAAAGTTAGTAAATATGCATCAGTAATAGAAACTACGTAAAATGCTTTAAATTTCCAATTTCTTTAAGGAATTGCTTCGATGATGGTGAAAAATTTATCTTGCATTCTTTACAGTTATTTTCTTAGAAAATACTTTTTAATATAGAAAGGGAATTTGTGAGAATTTTTGCCCTCATGTTCTAATTTTTCGAATACAAATTATTCGCAACTTACTTTAATATTATGTTTATATTTAATTTTCAAATATTTTAAGTTTATTCCAGATTAAAGTATTAGATAAATAATTTTTTAGATCGCATCATAAATTTATTAGTAGTTAGTTATTTATGACATCGTTTTGACTTGTGAGAAATAAGTAAAGTATTGTAATCGCGAAAAATTTCGATTTTCATATTTCAAAGAAAAATTCCATTTTGATTAGTTCCATCATGAAGCTTACATGTACGTATGTCGCATAACTTCACCAAAAAATGCTGAAATTTTATATTTGGAACTTATGACTAGTTTTAGCGCGATGTCTGTCCGTACGTACTTATTCATGTATATCGCATAACTCAAAAACAGTAAACCGCAAAATGTTGAAAGTTTTTGTATGCAATTGCTATAACATCTAGTTGTGCACCTCCCTTTTTATTGCAATCGGCAGTTTCAAATGGGCATTTTGAAATGGAAGAGCCTATTTCATTTTCAAACGAAATAGGTTTAAATGAAGTTTAGCAAAAAAATGTGTTTGATTTATTTGGTGTACAAGGAAGTCATGTGATGTCCGCATCAGGTTTTTTAAGATGTTTCAAAATAAATAAATATATGGTTTTGAATATCAACGATCTCAAATATATGAGCTTTATTTGTTTTGTAAATATTTTACAGGAAAGATAAGAAGTAATCTAAATAGCATATCTTGAAGAGAAAACACTTAAATACACTTTTTTTTAAAGCAAAATTTAAAGAATAAGTGATTAAATTTTCTTTAAATACCTTTTGTAAAATATTATATATGAAACGAGATATTGTTTTCAGAAAGACAATTTGTAGAATGATTAGGTTTTTTTTTATGCTAATTACGTGAAAAATGAGCAATGCCCTCGCCGGGATTCGAACCTGGACCTCTCGAATACGCGCTGAGAGTGCTACCATTACACCATGAAGGATGCAGTGAGAAGTTAAAATACCTTATATACTCCGCCTTTTAAAAGCCGACTGGAGATTAGGAGACCCAACTGCCAAATCCTGGTAGTGAAGAATCATCATCCATCCCCCTTATTTTTTAGTTCGAACGCCACTGTAAAACATTAGGTTGTTTGTGGAGGATACACATAAAAAATGAGCAAAGCCCTAGCCGGTGGTGTGGTGTGTGGTGTATTTAATTATGGCAAAGCACACGAGGGCCTAAAGGGAGGGATGCCTTTCGTGGAGGACTTTCTAAGGGAAACTGGCTCGTATACACGTTACACATAAGCCCTAGCCGGGACTCGAACCTTGGACCTCTCGAATATACGCCGAATACACTACATTACACCACGAAGGCATGTAGAAAGGAGGGAGAAAATACCTTATAACTTTAAGGAGGAAAGTGTTGTTTTAAAATGAATATCGCACAATAATTTCCGTCTTAAATTGTCTTTTCTGAAAATACTTTTTGTAATATTCATTCTAGAGTTCTCTAAAGCATATTTCTATACATAATTTGATATTCTTAAAGTTATGTTATCTAAATGTAT